TTTTGAAACCACCAGGAGTTTCACACTTCTATTAGCAAACTAACAAGAAGGCAAGAAAAACAACAGCTTTTACAAATGAACTCTGGTTATCAAGTCACTATGAAAATGGGTTTTCTATCCATTGCTAGAAAAAATAAGCTGTCCTTGTCTTCACTTATGATTTCACCCAACTTTCGGCAGTCTGCAAAATTAAAACACAATACATTTTCTCTGGGTTTCTTTTTCCCCCAAAGTCTCTACAGTGTAAATCTTTCACTAAGATAAATATGTACCTCTTGAAGTGATTAATATTTGGGCTACATTATTTTCTTCTCCTATATGTAATATAAAATTTCTCTGCTAAGGTATCTCATTTGCAGTTTGATTTTTAAAAAATACAACCTACTGTCATGATAAAATTTTTTTTTTTTTGGTTTGGAACCTTAAATGCAGCTTTAAAAAGTAGGAGCCACTGGATTTCTTAGCGAGAGGCACTGCTGAAGTATAATGGGATGCATCGAAAATATCCCCAACGCTGTCAAGCACACTTCCATTGAAAGGCAAGTGAACCCTGAACACTGCATTTCTATGTATTTGATATCTATGAAGTAATATGTACAAATTCTCTCAGAATAAGTAGCAGAGAAAGGGGTGCAGCAAGAAAGGCAAGTGTGATGCTAATAGTAAAGAAAATGGACGATGGAAGATGCAGGAGCGCACTTCTCAGTGAAAGTAATGGCCTCAGGCGCAGCCGTTGGCTGGCAGCCCATTACAGTTAGGAGAGATGAAAAACACTTAACCAGGAACAGAGGTTGGCTGGATTTTTAGGCAGCTTTTTTTTTCTCTCAGATGGTTAGGGTACTTTAAGCAGAAAATGCCAAAGCAAGGGGCAGCCCCAGATGACAAAGGACAGGGTAGTGCAAAGAAATGAGTAGAAAATGTGACCTTCTTTATGCCCAAAAGAGCACATGGGGGAGAGGCACAATCATAGCAAGAAAAGAAAGGACACGTCACTCTTTCCTCAGATCATGAGAAGAAAGCAAGTGTGACAGTAATTAAGATACACACTCATGGAAAGGGGCACTACTGTTCTTTAAAACAAAACCCCACTTGGTAAGCTCTAAGAACTGTGTCCTTAAATTTATGCATTTAAAGTCAACAGGTTACCAAATTACATCACAAGACAAGAGTGGAAAGCTAATGCAGAGGTCACATGAGCAGAGGCTAATGCAGCCTGCAGTCCCAGCCCTGGTCAGCGCCTGCTCACGGAGGCACGCCTGGCTCTCCTTGACAGATGGTTTTACCTTCGTCCTGGGTTGTCATCTGTCAAGTAAGCCCAGTAAATTAACTGAAATAATGAAGTTGAAAGCTATATAATGGCCACATCAACCTCAGTGTTCTAATAATGAAATTGTTTTAGCTGCATAGTATCTTAATTGATCTTGTTGGCCACAAATCATTAATATGGTCTCCAAATGTTAAGGTCTGAAAAATTGGGACACCATTGCCTTAGTTCTAAGTGCACCTAAACTAGTTTGCTTCCTTAATTAATTGGAAAAATTAAAATTTAGCACATAAAACAATGCATGCTTTGAGTGATCTATTACATGCAACACATAATATGATAGATTATCCACAACTGTCAATTTATAGTTAATATGTAGCAAAGTATGAAATATCTACATCAGCTGAATACAAATGCTAAGTAATTTTGATGACAGTTATTAATTAATATTATTGTACAGTGTTATTAATCAATAGTAAGAACACTGAAATTTAATAGTATTGGGCAACTTACCACAAGTTTTATAACTCAGGGCCAGTTATAAATTTAACATCAACCTGACATACACTGTGTTTATCCCATCATATGATCGAATTAAGCTCTAACGTTTGTCAGCACCATCCCTTACTTTACCTACCTAAGTGCAGACGATTACCTGAACAGCTAGATCTCAAGCAGATGACTGAGTGTGACCACTGAGCCAGAACACAATAAACACCCATATGTGAAAATTATCGAGCCATGTTTTTCTTTTCTTTTCTTGATTACCTGCTTAGCCATGTCTCTTAATCTTTGTCTACAAATTTTAGTTCTCTGCTTTGTAAATGTTTGTCATCCTATTCATCATCTCCCTCAATGAAACAGACAGAAAGATCAACTAATTTTATCTACAAAGATAATAAAAAATGTATTGAGGACAACATTATTTTCATATATCTTATGCAGGAGCCAACAAAAAAATTAACTTCATTGTCTAACACATATAGTCTACAGTACTCCAGTTCAGTGTTAAAGTTTTCATAAAGAAATCTAACATGCTGATATAAGCCTTTGTATCTGTATCTCTGATCAATAAATCTTTTCCCTTTTTCAAAGTTTTTATTTACCTTTTTGCACCTTAGTTTATTAAAATGTGATTTTAATCATTTCCCTCCAAAATCTCAGTGTGAATGACTGTGTTGCACACAGACTTATTTTTGTTAAGTAATCTTCTTTGAATACCTAATCAAAACTACAAAATTTCTCTTTAAAAAATAAGGAGTAAGGGCACAGCTCAGTAGCATAGTTCCTGCCTGCTAAATGTGAAGTCATTAGTTCAATACCTGCTATTAAAAAAAAAAAAGTAACTGCAAAATAAGAACAACATTGCCTAATACCTCTATATACTTGGAACTTAAATTACCAAAATTTACTTGTGGGAATTATTTGGGTATAAGCGTTCTGAATTATTATACAAAAAATATAATTATTTTTTAAACTACATTTTTAAGGGCTGGCTAGACAGCTCAGCTGATTAAAGCACCTGCTTCGGAAGATGCTTGGACCAGGGTTCAATCCTCAGCATGCTGTGCTGGCCATGCCCCTATGGCATGCTGAGACAGCAGTTGAGACTGGGCTTGGTGGCACTAGCTTGTAATCTCAGCACTTGGGAGGCTGAAAAAAGGAGCATCACTACACTATGTGTCCAACCTGCATAGTGAGACCCTGTAGGCCCTGTACTAAATACATAATAGATAAAAAAGCAATTAAATAAACTACATTTTTTATTTTATATTAACATTATACTATCAAATGATACAATGGTATTCAGTCTTAGAATATCAAGCTGGACCAAACAACTGAAATTCAAACCTAATAGACAGTAATATTTTTTTGCTATTTTTTAAAAAAATACATTATCACAAAAAGCACAGTTTCATTTAATAGTTACTGATATTTTTTAATTGTTCAGTATTATAAAGTTGTCCATTAAAGAAGGACTAATATATTTGTTAAATGTGCATTAAAAATAAATGGAATGTGAGGCCTAGATTCTTAGTCAATAAAAATATGTTACAATTACATTTCTTAAAATAATATAAATTACTAAGAGGGAGGGAATATTTAGTACCCAGATAATTTATAATTTATATGATCAAGCACTTGCCAGATGCTGGCTATGACAAAAATGCATGTGCACAAAAATACTCATGTACTTACACATGCTTTCTGAGGAAAATAACATGCTATTATTGATACTAAAATAATTTTTTTTTTTTTTTTTTTTTTTTTTTTTTGCGGTGCTGGGGATTGAATCAGGACTCTGCGCTTGCCAGACAAGTGCTTACTCTACTGAGCTATCTCCCAGCCACTGGTCCTAAAATAATTTTAGTGTGCTGGCATAGATACCATAAATTTATTTATATCTTTCTGTTTATAATATAGTACTAATCAGTATTTACAAAATATAGAAGCATTACATGGAACTAATAATCAATATAATAAACATTACTTAGAATTACATAAATGACAATCAACAGAAATGATTTCCCCCTTTCCTTAGGTGTGTTCAAATGAAAAAATGACCCATGGATTAAATGACTAAGATTCTTTCACAACTGTTTGAAGTGAAAAAAAATATGTATATAGATAAATTCATCAGTTAGCTATGCTTTATTTTGTGAGAAACATAAAACTTACAAAGTAAATAAAAATAAAGATGCATATATTTTTTGCTTACATGCCCTGCTTAGAAAACTTTCACCAGCACTAAGAAGCAAATTGGAAATCTAAGAACCTTTGGAAATCTTTATAAATTTTAGAAGATTGGAATTGGAAAATGATTTAAGAATTGTAGGGGAAGGGCTGGCCAAATAACTCAGAAAATTAAAGTGTTTGTTTAGGTACAAGGACCAGAGTTTGATCCTAAGGCCTGCTGTGCGGGCTCTGCCCCTGTGGCATGCTGAGAGAGCTGAGACTGGGAGTGGTGATATGCGCCTACAATCCAAGTGCTTGGGAGGCTGTAAACGGAGGGCCACTATGAGTTTAACCTATGTAGTGAGACCCTATAGACTTTGTAGACTCTGTACTAAATAAAAATTTTTTTTAAAAAAAGTATTGTAGGGGTACATTCATGTAAAGAATCTCAAACGAGTTTTCTGCCCAGACATTCAGACAGAAGTAAGCCTTGAGAAAAGAAAAACAAAACAAACAACAACAACAACAAAAAGTCAATTTAGCTACAATTGGCCTCTAAATACATTCACCATGAATGGCTCCTCATTTGTCTATGTCTCTTTTAATTGACTGGCATTCATTTTTGTCTTTTAACTAAAAAGAAATTTTAAAAAGCAATAAAAAATGGGCAAAAAGACCTATGAAACAAAGTTATTAGGAAAAATGAGTTTTAATATTTATAATTTAGACCATGTGTGAAAAGAGTAATGAGAAAGTCAACTAGTACAAGGACCCACTGCTTTTTATTTATTCCTAGATAACTTTGTTCTACTTTTCATGCTAATGGTTAGCAGGGTGCTACCACTCATAGCAAAACAGAACTGTAGAGCTCCTCATTTGCTTTTAGGGATAAAACATCACTCTTAAATTATCGTTCACTGTACCAGATAGTATGCGCTGAACACAACTCACAGGAATAATGTTTTCCTTTGCATCCCCAAAAGCAAAAATTATCAGTTTTCAATCCAAACACAGACACTGCCAACAATCATTTACAACTCTGCAAGGCCAAGTGCCCTACCTTTCCTACATAGAGAGGGTCTGAGCCCATGTATTCTTCCAGCACGAAGAACTGGTTCCACACCCAACTGCGCTTGGTCCTGGGCCTTCCTGATTGGAAGTAGGGCTTCGACCTGGACCTTGAGAGCTCCGCTTGACTCATCCCAGAAAAACACAGGAAAAGAGCAACTAGCTGCAGAAAGTGGCAGAACTCCACTTTGCCTAACTTCATCTCTTTTTTTTCTTTCTTTTTCCTGTGTAAGAAAAAAAACTTGACAAGAGAAAAGGCACAGTTCCAGTTGGCTTAGTAGCTCTTGCCTCCGGCAGGGTGTCAGCTGGGAGTCCAGAGGTAATAATTCGTAGAGTGTTGTACTGGAAGAGGTCACCACTGCTGAAGAGATTTTGCCAAAGAATGGTGTAATAGGTACCTAGGAGAACAAAACAAGACCTTGCATCAGAAACCCAAACACAGTCTGACATGCAGCTTTCATTTACCAAACTAATACTGAACTTCCTAGCACCATTTCTATACTCATGAACATATCCATTTTATGTTTAGAAAATTCCAATAACTATTAAAGTTTTGTGAATTACATAAACATTGCTGATGTAGAATTATCTTCATTCCTTAACACAACCTTAAAATTTCATGCTTCTCCTAGGACCTTTTATTTGAACATATGGTTTATTTTACCCCAATGTGGGAGCATCGTTTTAAAAATCATTTTAATGTTAGTTTTTTATGTTAGAGGCCATTTCATTCATTGGTATTAGAAAGTAAAAGCAAAGCAGCTCAAAGCAGGGATTTAACCAAATGGGAAGGACATATGCTGGTTTAAATCTCCTGCGTGAAACTGTAAAGAGAAATAAAAAAAGTATGAGGTGATTCATACTGGTTGATTGATTCTGAGTCACAGAACGCCAGCTGTTTTGATGTGTTCTGATTTGATTGTGATCATCTGAAAAGCTCAGTGGTTTCTATTTTCCACTTTTCAAAGGTATTGTCACATAACCTGTGCGGCATGTTAAGTCATGCTACTTTGGGGACATTACTCTGTATTCACCAAATATTTACAGTACAGCTTGTGCATAGTAGGGCCTTGCTGTGTAAACATTTATGGAAGTAGATAACAGTACTGATCAATAGATGGGAAAGGAGACTCAACTCTACTTGTGAGACTCATTGATTGCTGGCTTGCACCCAGGAGGTGCTTCAGCGACAGCATGAAAGAATCTTTTATTGCACTATCTTTTTATTCCAGTCAAATAATTCTGATTATGTAACAGTTATAAAACCAGTTACTACAAAAACTTCCAAACACAGCCCAGAATACAAAGGAATGAGAATTTATGACAGGAATGCTATGTTTCACTTTATCAATTCATTTCATTAACTATAAATAAATCAATAATGGAATGATAAAGGAAAAGTTCCATGTTTATTTGTGCATGTGTGTGTCTGAGTGTGTTTGAGGAAGAGACAACAATATAGTTTTTTAAAGAAGTTTAACTATTTATGCTTATTAAAGCAAAAAATATGCAATTCTTGTATTATAAGCTTTCGTTTTTCCGCCCATCTACCCTCTAACAAAAGTTCTTGTTACCCAACAGACAAACACTTCTGACAATGAAATTGCTTAAGTATTCTGTATATAGTAAAAAAAAAATGTAAAAAAGCAAAGCGTATAAATTTATTATTTTGAATAGTCTAAACAACTGGAAGTAACAAGGTACACTGACTGTGAATTGCACAAAATCAATACCTACATTTCAAAAATAGCTCTATAAAGTTTTGATATATTAGAGGGCATTTTAAAATGATCCAATGTTTAGCAAATCCATGCATGCTGGCAAAAAACAAAATGAGTAACGATTAGTATAGTACAGCATCTGTAACCTGTGCATTGAATGCAGTCTCCGCAATCTGGGTAGCAGAGTTAGGGTAGAGTAGTACACAGAATGGGATAAAGAGGATTGGATAGGGGATACAAAAATACAGCCAGATGGAAGGATTAAAAATAGCATTTTCTGACATGATAGAATGACTGTACTTAATAATTTAAATTTTAAAATAATGAAGAAGTCAGGGATTGGAATGCTTTGACTACTAGGACTGGCAAGATAGCTCAGCAGACTAAGCACCTGCTCAGGCAAGAGCAAGTGCAGGAACCAGGGTTTGATCCCTGACACCACATGCTGCACCGGCCCTGCCCCGAGGCACACTGAGCCTGAGACTGAGTCCGGGCACAGTGGCGCATACCTGTAATCCCAGAGCTGGGGAGGCTGAAAACAGGAAACAGGAGGATTACTACTAGTCCAAGCTGCATAGTAAGACCCTGAACAAATACATTGTTTTTTTTTTTTTTAAATGCATGCTTTGACTACAAAAACATTAATGTCTGAGGTTATGAGTATTCTAGTTATGATGTCTCATTATTCCACGATGTATACAAGTGTTGAAAATATTTCACTCTACAGTGAGTCTATACTAATACTATGTATCAGTTAATACCCTGAGGGGCTACCTGTTCTAGACTTGGAATTATAAAGAAGAAACAAAGGATTCACTGTAACCTTTAGCTTAACTTGAAAGTTTATCATGCAGAAATCTGAAAGCCTATCTCTCCTGAGTTAAAGGAGATAAGAAGCTGTCAAAACTAGGAAATAGTACATTGGCATATCCATTAGTCCAATGACAAGGCAGAATTCGTAAAAAGTGGCCATCAGTCTAAGGGACAAGGGCACAAGGCAGAGCTAGCTCAGGAATCTTCCTTCATCTAGTGGCAAACCAGGATCTTGGGATGGGGAGGAAAGGTTAGAGTTGCCACTCTCATTGCTCTAGCAAAAATGAACTTTGTCCTGGAAAGAATGGCATGAATACTTTCATATTTCATCCCTAAAACAATGTTTCCAAATTCAATATAGCCCAATTGTACTATCTAGATTACATTATCGATTGAGTATACTTGGTAACAATGATTCTGTGTGAATATGTACTCCATTTATGAAAGGTCTAAAAATCAAGTGGGCTTTGGGAATTCAAAATCTAGGAATTTCTCTAATTATATCCGAGTAAACACAGAATATTTGCATCATATAAAGACTCAAAAGATGGATTTTTCATGGCTTAACTTTGCAATCTTGGGTGAGTAAAATTCTAAGAAGTTCCAGGATAAAGTCTTAAGTTTATCAACTTTAAAATGGAAATGAAAATAATGGCATATACTACACAGAATCAAATGAGCAACCTGTGCAACCTAGGAATAGTGCTTGAGACATTTAAAAGCAAGTACAAGTAGTTTGGGGGACTACTATTGTTATAAATTTTTACTTTAAAACCAGTTATGATAAATTGATCATGTTAGTTTTTGTTGGGAAGAAAATATTTTATATGATTATTACTTTAAATAAAGTCATTCTTTAAAGCTATAGTTGATATCAGAGAAGTACATGTTCATAAATCAAAATATCTACATAGATACAGAGGCATCAAAATATTTATTATTTTTTATTTTTTGCAGAATTGGGGATTGAACTCAGGTCCTTGCACTACTGAGCCATTTCTCCGGCCCATCGATACATTTAAATATATATATATATATAGTCATGCACTCTATAGTGAGTTATAGTTCAAGGATTGGCATCAGAACTGGAGAGGTCAGAGATTGCATAGGAAGCCCTGATGAGGCACAAAACTCATTGGATTACTGAATCTTTTTTTCTTTCTAGCCTCTATCACTTGCTATATGGCTTTGGATACCTCTGGAATTTTTCATATTTATAAAACGAAGAAGCTAGTATAAGTCATATTACTAAGTCTAGATTTTTCTCCACATATTGCATTTAGGGATAATTTTATAAAATTCATCTGTTTAGGATTTAAAAGAGGTAGTGAAGTGCACATTGCTAACAGTTAAAGATGAGGGCTAGAGACATTTGAGAGTGATGAAAATGTCAAAAGAAACACTGAGTTTGTTCACAAAATGTGGCATGCTCTTTAATAAGAGCTGTTTAACTTACTCATCTTGCTTCTTCAAGGTTATTTCTCTTTCACACAAGACTGAGCACATATCAAGTGGCTGGGAATTATCAAAGAAGAGAGTTTGTAGAACATTCATGGGTGACAGCTAGCAAATATGTATGTGAAGCAAATGTGCCTGGAACTGTACCATTGCCTTTAAATCAACAGTTCTATTAAAGCACACCTACCATGAACATAAATCTTAATGAATAGACACACCGATGCTAACTTTGTATCAACAGTATCTAGAACAATGGTAGGCACATAATTCACTTTCATTAAATATTTACAGAATGTTTATATTCATTAGCACCTATTAGCTTCCTAATATGGAATACTAACCATATAATAATTCAGTATATAAAATCTATACCAACTGTATAATGCTTTTTCTGTGAATTTCACCTTGGGATATAATCCCAATGTATTTTTCCGCAGTTTTGGAATTATTGGCCAAGCGCTGGAGCCATGTTTTCTCTATTTTGTTTCAAAGTGTACAACATTATATCAGAATATTTTAACAGGCTTTAGGTACATTATTAAAGGAAGAATTCTCTTTCATATGGCAGATGAATGCCCCCATAATTTCATTTTGCCCTATTGCAAATGCAGAACAGGGATATTTGTGTAACTGTAATTTGGAATGTGCTTCATAACACATTTGCCAACATTTTTGGTAGTTACTAACACAGTCAGAAATACACTTTTAGCAATGTTATATCTCTTTTCTTCATAATTCTTTTCCAAATCTCTACTGCCACTTCAATTACAGCATGTCCTTAAGGTAAATGCCAGTATGGACACTCAACCCAATTCAGCCTGTCCTAAGCTGTGTTATCATATCAGAAAGAAGGATCTCAAAGAGTTATTAAATTTTTTAAACCCTTCTTTGTGTTTGTCAAAAAGAAGCAAGCACCACTTAAAATTCTTTATGCACTATCTAACCTGTCCATTTTTTCTATCTTCTTAAAAATAGTAGCATCTTTAAAGGTACTACAGCAATACTTTTACATGTAAGTGAACCTCCATAGAGGATAAATTACAATTGTCAACTTTTCACAAGAGACTAATCTGCCTCAAAATACATGCCCGAAACAGCAACACTGCATCCTGTCTGAGAGGTCTACATGGTTCATTTTCTCCCTTTCTTGCCTTCTCTCCAATTGAGTTTCCCCAGAGGAGTTCATAACAGCAAGCAAAAGAAAAGCAAAGAGACCTTTGCCCCAAGCAGGGTGGTTGGTTACCCACCCTGGTGGGAAGGTTAGGAGAGTGATCCTCTGGAGATTGGGACAGCTGACCTCTTCACTATTGCTAGCAGAAAAGAAGTGCAGAAACATGTTGGCACACAGTGACTTCTGCAGATCTATGTCAGCTTCCGGACAGTTACAAATGTGGAACATTATAGCT